GGGACAGCAGTGGCTTAGACTGTTCCTGGGGGCTCCCCAGCAGCATCAGGGAGGGGGTGCGGGGCGTGCGGGGGGACTCAAGCTGGGCCGGGAGTCGGAACCCGGTGGTTTTCTGGGAGTGATGGGGCGAGACGGCCTTATGGGGAGGGGACCGGACAGGAGTCTCAGCCGGGGTCAAGACCTTGTTGGGGGAGGGGCAGCATTATGTCTTAGAGTTTGTGAGAGGCCATGGCTGGGGGTGGGGACCAGGACGGGACACGGAGGGCTTCCAATTTATTGGGGAGACACGGGGCATCGGGCTGCGTGTCTTAAAAATGTGATTGCGGGGGGAGGGGTGTTACAGCCGTGTCAGCGTGGGGCAGGGGACGTGCCTTATAGAGATTGTGGGACTTGGCCATGGGGAGGGGTCCCGGCTCCGAATGGCAGGGGCAGAGCGGCTGTTAGTGGGGGGACACTCCAGTGCATCTGTGCCGACCTGGAGTGGGGGACACAGGCCATGAGGGGGCAGGGACCGGGTCTTGGAGGGGTTCGGAGGTCCGAGGGTCTCTGTGTGGGGAGGCGAGTCTCCGAGGCCCTGGGGTGGGGCGTCGCAGGCGCCGTTTCCGCGGCTCGAACCGGGCCCCCCACTCCTGATCGGCCTGCGCCCCCTCCTCCTGCTCGGCCCCCCACCTCCCTCCGCGCCCCACCCCAGCGCTGCTCTCCGGGCTGCGCAGAGAAGGCGCCCGGAGCTGGGTTTTGGTGACCCGCCATTTCCGGGCACCTCCGCTTCCTTCCCAGAGTCTCGCGCTTGTCCCCTCCCCAGGCCTGAGTGGCTCCGCGTCCCGGGGTCCCGCGCACCTGGCGGTGGCCGAGGCGCGTCCCCTGGGCCTGCGAGCACTCCTCTGCGTGGATCCCATGGCTGCGTGCTGGCGCCGGGGCAGGACCTTGACCCCAGACCTGGGCATGATCCCGCCCGCGCTGGCGCCTCCGCCCCACGGGCTGTGCTGGGCGCGCTCCAGGACCCCCAGGGCTCACTTAATCCGATTAACCTCCCTACTCTGCCTGGAGAGTGGCGCGTGAAAGCTGGTTCTCCGGGTCCCCACCGCCTAGTGAAGCTTGGGCTTCTGGAGCTGCTTAATCTGGATGGAGCCCGAGCAGGGTGACTGCCCCAGGCAGCCAGGGCGGCCTATGGGACCCCCTTTTTAAAAATTCCTTCTAGGGGTCTTGGGACAGCCCAGGGTGCTGGACTCTTGCTCCTTTGTGCACGCAGGCCCTGGGGTGAAGCCAGAATTAAACCGGCAGTCAGTATAGACAAGGAAATGGAGTGAGGCCAATTTTGATGAGCCTGGCAAGTTGGAGACTGTTCCTGAGGGATTGAAATGTTAGTTCCTTCAGAGCCCTTCCTCCACCCTTATGGAGAACCTGCCCTTGAGCCAATCTGCTGCTAAGATAGCTTGTCCCAGGAATTGCCCCTCCCTACAGGGAGCTACAAGGTTTTTGATTAATGGTCCTTGGCTGCTCCACCCTGTCCTTCCCCCTTCAGCTCATCTGGTTCCCACCTTTTGACCAGCTCAGGAGCATCCCTGGGCCTAGTCAGGTTCCCAGGAAGGAGGAAGATGAGGGGAAGAGGGCCCCAGAACCAAGGAAGCCTAGGACACATCAAAAGGGCAGAACACCTTGCTTCTTGGGAACCAGGACACCAGCTGTGGCCCCTTCTCCCTCCCAGGAGAAGTCTGTGCTCCTCCTTTTTAAATAAACCCTGCTTCATATGCTTGCTTCGGCCTGCTCCTCCAATGTTCAGACGTCAACGTGTGGGAAGGCAGAACTCCTCGCCAGTGCCCGTGGTATCACTTGGAGGCCCCACGAGCTCTTAATGCTTAAGTGCAGTTGGTGCAGCTGCTGTTAGGTGGGTGGTGGCGACTTAGAACAAAGCAGCCCTCAAGAACATCAATCAGATGCCTGTGGAAATGCCTGTCAATCAGCCAGATCTCCTGACTAATACCTGTCAATCAGCAGGACCCCCTGGCCAATCCTAGAGTTCATCCAACTCCCCTGAACAACTCCAAGGGGGCAAGGGACCCTAAAAACACCTTTTCCTGTCCCAAGCCCTTCCCTTCCTGCTGTAAGCCCCATAAAAGTCCAGTCCGGTCGAGCTTCCACGCGGTTTCTCCTCAGACCCTTCCCCTGTCCCCTCCGTGGGTTTAATTGAGTTCCGCCCAGGAGTGATATCTCAATAAAGTCTGTTCAGCAGCCCTTTTAAATCTGCCTCCTTTCGTGGCTGCCTACCTCGCCTGATGTGACAGCTGGCGCTCTTCAAGACTGGGGTGAAGGGCTTCCCCACCTAGGCAGCTCCCCAACACCCATTCAGTACAGAGCAGGCATATTGGGTTCTACTGAAGGTACTTCCCACTTCTTTTTTTTTTTTTAATTAAATTTCTCTTTTTTTTTCTGGGGTTTTTCACAATCAGGAGTTGGTGAAGGGGTTCCTGTAATCTGCTGTCTGACAGGGTCACAGTGTGGGGGATGCTGTGGCAGGGTCACACCATCTGGAAACCTGAAAAAGGGGAATGTTAAGTGTTTTGTTTATGATCCTCATGGTATGGAGAACAGGGCACACTCCTCAATGCGTAATAAAAGTACCTGTTACCTGAGAATGCAGGAAAATTCCCAGAATGAGACCAAGGACACAACTGAGACAGGCCCCAAGGTGGGTTTCAATCTCTCTCAGGATACAATCTATAGTGTTATTCCTTAAGAAATTCACAGGGAAAAGATTACAAATCAAAATTCCTGAGAAAAGCCTGACAAGAAATGTTTATCCCACGGTTACCAATGTACACTGATCTCCCCCCATTTTCTAAAGGCACAACACATGCAACAGCCTAGTTACAGAAAAACAGTTCCTGAGCCAAGTGTACAAGGACCACCATGTGTAGCTTGCTTAATTAAAGGAAGATTATGGTATTCCCCTCCAGGACAAGAGGCTAATCAAAATACATCCCCCCCATTAACACACCCTCCTTTGCCTCACACAGGAATTCATGATGAAATTGAGAAACACATAGTTAATATTAATGGCAAATGGGTTGAGGAGCAGTGCCTGCCCTTTAACTAAAAGATTACAAAGACACAAGACTTGGTATGCTTTGACCCAGGATCAAGAAAACTCTTTAAGGGCTGGGGCTGTGGCTCAAGAGGTAGCATGCTGGCCTGGCATGCGTGCGGCCCGGGTTCGATCGTCAGCACCACATAGAGATGTTGTGTCCACCGAAAAACTAAAAAATAAGTATTAAAAAAATCCCCTCACTCTCTCTTAAAAAAAAAAAAAAACTCTTTAAGAAAGCAATTAAATAGGTCATATGAAAAAAGGAAATTACTTTGGAAATTAAAAATAGAAGAATGTAAAATTAATATAGATATATTGTAGAGTCACTTCGGAATAATAGGCTTTTACTATTTTAAGTGTGTTTTACTATAGGGGCTGGGGATGTGGCTCAAGCATAGGTAGCTTGCTCGCCTGGCATGCATTCGACACAGGTTCCATCCTCAGGACCACATACAAACAAAGATGTTGTGGCCACCGAAAACTAAAAAAATAAATAAATATTAAAATTCTCTCTCTCTCTCTCTCTCTCTCTCTCTCTCTCTCTCTCCCTCTCTCTTTAAAAAAAGGTGTGTTTTACTGGAACTTTACATTAAAAGTAAGAAAGTTACTAATAATTATAGGTGTGCTTTAGAGTTAAAGGTTAATGAAATAATTATAGGTATGATTTAAAGTTAAAAGTTAATAATAGACCAGGAGACGTGTAGTCGAGTTGTAAACTATAGTGTTAAGGGCCAGGGTATATGAGCAATGACCAAAAGGCTCCGTTTCACCCTGTGACTCCATATCATGGAAGAAAGGCTTCTCCCATGGGAAAGCCCCGCCTCTGTACCCATTAATGGTTTCCTACAGAGCATACTTGGCAACACAAAATAGCAATTCTTACACAATGTAAAATTGTTCTCTTTGCTTTCCATTTTTCTTGGGCAATGTCCCTTGTCAGAGATGGATTGCCTAGACCTTAGTAACCATTCTCTAACTTGTACCGAACCAGGGTCATTTTGACCCACTTCCCTTCTGCTGGCTTGCTGCTCTGCCAACCTGGAAAGTCCTGCAGGGAATACCAATGTACCCACTGCATTGTCTCGCTAAATGCCCAGGCCAGCTTCTGGACCTGCTTCCTTACAGCTATGTCCACCCAGAAGTGTTTTTTGTCTTTAAATGTCCTAAAATGCTCAGGCTTGGGGCTGTTCCTTGCAGAGACAGTTATGGGTCCTGCAGGGAGCTGTCCCCAGCTGGCCAGCTAAATTCTGTCAATTTGGACAGAAGTGGGACTTGGTGTGTTTTCTGAGTGACCTGCCCCACAACAGAGTGCCTAATGATTAAGGTGAAAATGTAGAAGCTTACTCATGATTGGCAAAGGTTACAGGAAAATATTTTAAACCATGTTCTCAATATATCTTAGGTAATCAATATGTCAGGGGCTGGGGATGTGGCTCAAGCGGTAGTGCGCTCACCTGGCATGCGTGCGACCCGGGTTCGATCCTCAGCACCACATACCAACAAAGATGTTGTGTCCGCCAAGAACTAAAAAATAAATATTAAAAATTCTCTCTCTCTCCTCTCTCACTCTCTCTTTAAAAAAAAAATCAATATGTCAGAAAAGATCGTGACTCTTGAAATTATGTACATCAAATAAGTTTCCGGCTTTGAGATTATTTATTTACTACCTGGAAAGATATCTGCAAAAAAAAAAAAAAAGATATAAAAATAAAGGTCCCCCTAAGGGCAGCAGATTCCTTTTGAAGGGTGCTCAGAACTTGCAACCCGCTATTTTTCAGGACCACATAAAAATTAATAAATTAAATAAAGTTTTTGTGTCCAACTACACCTAAATTTTTTTTTTCTAAAAATTAAAAAGTAGGGACAGAGTAATACTGAGACAATCTTGGTGAATATGCTTGTTTCTCTGTGCACCATGTAGCCCCTTGACATGTCTTGAAAACATTTCAATATCTTGCTGAACCTCACTCCTCAACCTGGGCCCAGGGATGTTTTGTGTCACTGATGAGGCCTCTTTGGTCCAGGTCCCAGAGACACCCTCATGAATAAAAGCAAATCATTGTCCTCAGCCCACAGGCGAAGGGAGACTGTCCCAAGTCTCCACGGAGTTTCCTAAAACGTGAGGATGAAGAGGAGCAAGGAAGAGGTACATGTGCTTGAAAAAGAGTCAAGAAGTTTACCCAGCAGGTGACTTGTTCATTGGACACGGGTTAGCAAGGCAGTGAGATTTGAGGGTGGGGCTAATGAAACACACTTAAGCCATTTAAATGTTTATATCATTCTTCATGTGGGAGGAGAAACAAGTTCTTCAGAAATAGATCTGAAGTAGAATTTGGGAACAAGTGGTTAAATGTTTAGTCACAGCATTCAGCAGAAATCCTGGGGCAGGAAACACAGAAAACAGGAAGTGTTTGCAGCCCATTCACAAATGTGCCCTGTGGCTGGGCAGGGACAGGAGGAATGAAGAGGCAGTGCTTTGATGGACAGCTGAAGCTGGAGAATGAACTGAACTCCCAGAGTCCAAGTTCACAGTAAGGATGTGACTCCTATTTTCTACTTGGATTCTGAATTATTTTCTTTCTGTTTTATTGTTTTCTATTTTTAATTTGCTATGAGTGATGATTGATTCAAGACTCACATTATAACCTTACTGCTTTCTGCTTGCTAAATGACCTTCTATGAATCTTCATGATTTCATTTAAATACTTGGGAATTATTTCCAAAGTATTTGATACAGTTTTTATTAAAAAAATGTACAATGAACTTTTGAAAAGATTTTTAATGGTTCTAATTAGTTACACATGACAGCAGAATGCATTTTGTCACATTG